CACACACACACACACACACCCCGCCTCCCCCACCCCCGCCGCTGCAGTGCACACACACACACACACACACACACACACACACACACACACACCCCTGCCTCCCCCCACCCCAGCCGCTGCAGTACAAGGCCCAGGTGGACATGGCCTGGTTCTTTGTGAGTTAGGACTGACTCGCTGCACACTCACAGCCCTCATTTCAGTACAGAAAGGGAGAGAAGAACTTCGCTGATTGGTTCCTTCCCCAGGACTTTAGTGGAAGCAGCTGAGTTTTCAGTCCTTTAAATTGAGTTGTTTAATCCCATCCAGCCTTCTTCACCCGCGGTTGGTTTTTGTGTGCGTGTGCATTTAAAGGGAGCCGGAGGAGATGCAGTCCATTAAACAGCTCTGTTCAGGTTGCGGCTGTAGAAACTCGATTTGCTGAGATGCCAAATGTTTTCGGGTTTTGGGGCGCATCTTGTGGGCCTCCGGTGGGGAGAGGCTGCAGCTGCTCTTGGGGACAGTTGCCGGGGGTGGGGTGGGCAGGCAGCGCTGCTGTTAGCAGCAGTTCAGAGTCCCAGCTGTCCCATCTCTCTCCTGGAGAGGGATTTGGGAATCCAGTGTCACTGCTGAGTCGTGATCCTGCCACGTCCTGGTTCTTCCCCAGAATCCTGTCCCTGGTGAATCCGGTGACCTTGAGGGTGTCCTGTGTACTTGGCAGTGGAAATGCAACCATGAATGAGACAAAGTCCCTCTTCTCCTGGAGCAAGCTTCCGTTCCAGGGTGTCCAGAAAGTGCCCTCTGGGAGGTTTCCCCAGTTATTTTCAGGCATGCCCCTGATCTCAGATTGGAGCTCCAGGGGTACAAGACCCTGAAAGCCCATTCAGTCAGATCGGCCCACAGCCAGACCCTGGAGGGGGGAGGCCCCTCACTAATAGAACGTGACCACGGCCTGCCCCACGCGGGGCTGTACACACAACCGAGGTGGCTCAACACCCGGGTTAGCCCATTAGTAACCGCCAGCCTGTCTGAAGCCATCCCAGTGTCAGGGAATGTGCTTAGACACCTTCCCTGTAGTATCCAGAGAACCCTCGACAGTTCTTCTGCAGGAGAATGCTGTTATTATTTCCATTTGGCAATTCAGAAACTGAGGCTGGGGAGGTGAAGTAGTTGACACCCACCTAGGGAGTGCTGGGGCCAGAACCAAGTCTGTCTGTCCCCAGAGCGCGCAGTCACTGCGCCTCTGTGCCTGTGTTTTACCTGTGTGGCCCCAAGCTCATGCTTGGTCATCGTATCATCCCCCCATCATCTGGCCTTTTTCTCTCGTGCTACAAGTTCTCGAGAAGACTGTGCAGTCTGGTGTGGAGAGGGCTGTGGGGCTTTGGAAAAGCTCTCCCTCAGCGCCCTGATCCGTTGTCCACTTTTCCGATTGATTTACAGGAGCTCTGTTTATCCAGGACGTCCCATCTATGGTCTGTGTTGCAGATGTTTTCCTCTCCTAGTGTGATGGTGATAAACCCGCATACCCGTCACCCTGGGGGAGAGGCACTGGCCCTGGGGGACAGAGTGTACCAGGTGTTCATGATGCAAGAGCTGGCCACAGGGAGAGGCCGAGCCTCAGAGCCCCAGCTCCGCCGCCACCATGTTCCCCAGCCCCCGGCACGTGGCCTCCCTGGGGTGTCTCACGGGCTCTTGTTTCTCTGCCCGCCTCCCCCTGCCCCCTTCCAGGGACAGCTCGGCAGTCCACACCCCTCCGGGATCCTCAGTTGTCTTTGCTTCTCCTAATTCAGGATAAGTGGCTGCTCCCTCAGTACTGCCTGCTCCTCGCAGCCTTGATCTGAAAATCCTTTTGTCAGAAACAATTTTGCAGGTGTCAAATTAATATTCTTGGCACTGGAGTACAAATCCTCCCATCAGCTAGCGATCCAATGACTTGTTTTTAGGTGAAAATGCGACCCTGATCCCACAGTCTGGAACGCGGGGCACATGTGCAGAGCTTCCTGCAGGACCCGTGGGCGGCAGGGCCGCTCTTTCCCTGCCCGAAGGTGCCAGTGTCAGCCACCTCCCGAGCCCACAGCTGCCCAGGCAGGCTCTGCCTGTGAGCCCCCGGACGACAGACGGGTCCTGTCCACGTTCCCCGTGGTTCCCATCCCCACCGCAGCCTCAAGCACAGCTGCCTCCCCATCTGCATTTCAGATCCGCTATGGGTCACGGCAGGTACGTGTCATCACACACGTGCCCGAAGTGAGCCCTGGCATCAGCTGTGGGCTTCAGAGGTGATGTGTCTCAGTGCAGGTACGCTGACCGTAACAGGCGCACCGCTGTGGTGAGGAAGACCGGTGAGGGGAGGCTATGTGTGTGCGGGGCCAGGAGGTGTGTGCGAAACCTCTGTTACTTTCTGCTCAGTATCGCTGCAAACCTAAAACTGCTCTAAAAGTTGAAAGTCTATTTTAAACAAAAATATGTGGGATTGGAAAAAAAGTCTGAAGTTTCAGAAGAGGTCTGGGAGGAAGGTCGGGTGCCCCCCCTCCCCAGGAAC